TCGTTGATCGACTCTAGTTGATCGTGTTAGTAATTATGTTTTAATATTATTTAAATTTGTTATAAATTTGACGAAATATTGAAGTGTTTATTGGTAAAAATCATAAGTAAACTTTTATTATATAAGAGATGTACATTTAGGTATTGAAGTTTGTGTTTAGAGTCGATCAACGATCACTAATCTTATACGAAGAGATTTAGAGAGTGGCAGACTGACCCCAGCAGTGGCAGTCTTCGTGTTCGTGTACCCCGACGGCGTTCCCGGACCCCGGACCATTTAATCGAGACATAAATATTTCATCGCGAATGATGGGGCCGCCATGTGTTCTGACGTAAGGGTCTGCGCACAATAGGAGAAATATTAGGAACAGATATTAAATATAAGAATTTTAACCTATCAGAATTGTGTACTGTGGAATGTGCGCTTTCTGACAGGTTAAAATTCTTATATTTAATATCTGTTCCTAATATTTCTCCTATTGTGCGTAGACCCTAATGCATTGGTGTCAAGATGCCCAAATCTGCTCATTTCCTCCAGCCAATCACGTAATTGGTCACGTGACCAAGTTGGCGATTCTCTCTACTAGAGGTTCTCTAACTAGACCCGTTGCATCTCTTTCTATCTTGAGAGAGAAAGAGAAGCGCTCTTGACAGTCGCAAGTGTAAATAAACAGATCTGAAAGTGCGTGTAGGATTCACACTGCATCCGATGTGCGTCGTACGACGACTCTGCAACCAATCAGAAAAATCGTATTGTCGATGCGAAGCAAAATCTTGTTTTCTGATTGGTTGCAGATTCGTCATACGACGAAAATCGGATGCAGTGTGAATCCAGCATAAACATATGAGATAAAATTATTTTATTTTAAAATAATGTTGAAAATATATCAAATTTATTCAAATAATTATTATACAAACCTAATTATATTTAACTAATAATAGTAAAATTTATATTAATATAATCGAGTGATACATTTATCTCAACCTAACCTAACCAATTAATTTGGTATTCATTATTTCGGCAACTCTGAATAGTCTGAGGCTGGAGTCCCATGATACGGAAATTACACCGGAACGGAACAGTGAGACCAATCACAATCGCAGAAAGGAAAGTAGAATAATGATTGCAAAGATCTGATTGGTCTCACTGTTCCGTTCCGGTGTATAATTTCCGTATCATGAGACTCCAGCCCACAGATGTCTATACTATACTAGATCGCTAACTTCGTCAAAAACAGTTGAAAAGACTGAGGTCGGCCGGATCTCCGATTTCGGCCATGATGGGAACAAAAAGATGGCGAGGTACGTGTGTAGTAGTGCGTATATGAGTATCCTGCGTGTGTTTTAGTGCGTATGTGTGACATCAGCCGGCAGCCACACGTGTCAGAAGTAGGAGCTTCCAGAAATACCGACGGCACAGCCAAATTTTTTAAACGCACATCACTTGCGCCATGGTATAAAGACAAGGGTATGCTCACGCGCATGATAGTTCCAGACAACCAATCAGAAATGTCACTCAGTGTACGTCACATTAAACGGCAAATTCAAAATGCATTTGCTTAGTACTTCTACATACAGTATTGAATTACGGTATTTTCTAATAAGATTGACTTTAAAAACGTGATTTCTCACCGCTAAATTCAAATAATTTATTCTAATACGTATCACAAATAATTTCAAAAAATAAAAAAGAAATCATCTTCCATTATATAAATTGTGAAATAATTTATATAAAGGAAGGTGATTTTACACTTTTAGTTACAATTAATACTTTTCTTGAAAAGCAATTCACATTATTTATTGTAGAAATACGCAATTAGCAAAAAACTTTCATTGTGCTCTCTTTACAAAAAAAATATATACATATAATAATCATTTAAGATTCTTTTGTAACTTATTTTTGAGGAATGGACGATGAAATGAATAAAAAAACAATTGCAGGTATATGTGTATATATAATAACTAATATGTAATATAATAAGTATAACGTGTATATATAATACAAGTAATGACTATATTTATTAAGAAATTTTGATAATCATTACATTTGAAGAAGGCTCAATCAAGGAGCCGAAACATGTCATGTATGCATACGAAATTTAATTAAATTCAAAATTTTTATATACAGGAAAATTTAATTTGTAATGTTTCGTTGACTCTCAGAGTTGCCCTTATTATTATCCTCTATTGTTTCAGCATAAATAAATACATAAATAAATAAGGTGGAATTGTACAATAGTATTAATCGATGAAATTGTCAGTGCTCTTGGTGAAAATTTTTCATATAATTTAAAAATATTTTTAATAAAGAATTTAAAATCTAGATTTGTTTATACGAATGTTTATACGAATTCACATATAATAAAAAATTATAAGAAAAAGTGTATTCTTTCTCAATACTTCTGAAAGCGTTTTAATTCATGTAAAAATTCTGACAAATTTTCACCAAGAGTTTCGTGATATTTTTGTTTGATTGTAAAAAGTTAACCTAACCAGATTAGTTATTTACATTTACACTATCAATTTGTTTATGCGTTAATATGCAATATTTCAACCTTACCATGCGTTAAATTTACATTTTCCTCGCACACTTCGATCCATTTTGCAGCAATTTCAGGGTCTTTAGGAAACCTGAAATATTTTATTTCCTCTCCTTTCATTCTTACCGTTTTTCGATAATAATTATTGCAGACTTTTACTGCACAAACAGCCATTATTTTTAATAAAAACTCTTGCTTACTTTACCGCTTTAACGAATATCATAAATACAGCAGTCCATATTTCATTGGCACTCAGAGTCCGAAAGCTTCCGAAAGCATCCGAAAGTAGCCGAATGTGACGTAAACTGAGTGATGCGCAAAGGCTTTCTAAATTCGTCCACCGGATGAGCATACCTTGTGTTTATACCATGGTATAAAGACAAGGGTATGCTCGTTCTGTGTCAGACCACTGCGCATTCCCACCACTTTTTGTTCTTGCTTACGTCATACTCGTGTAAAGTAAATGTAGAGGAAGCTCGTGTGACGTAAGCAAGAACAAATTCCCTGGATTGTCCCTATCTGAAATATGCGCAAGAGCATACCCTTGTATTTATACCATGGTTTATACCATGACTTGCGCCTGGTCTTTCCAAAAAATCTGTATGTACAAAATGGGCACTACTAGAGACTCTCTAGTAGAGAGAATCGCCAACTTGGTCAATTACGTGATTGGCTGGAGGAAATGAGCAGATTTGGGCATCTCGACACCAATGCCATAGGATTGTTCTATCTCTTTTCTATCAATGTTCCGTTACTGTTTCGTTCCGTTATTTCTGACTCCATGTGACTGCACCCTTACGCTATTCCGCTGCATGGGTTTGCACCCTAAAGCGGGGAGCACAGACTTTTGCATAACGCATAAAGCATGTGCATAAGGAATTTCATTGGCCCATTTTCTTATGCATGAGTCAATGGACCAATCAGATTCTTTATGTATATGGTTTATGCGTTATGCAAAAGTCTGTGCTCCCCGCTTAAGGGTGCCGTCCCATTAAGCACGGATCAGAATGACGGTCGGGTATCTCACTAGAATTGAGCATTCCGTTCCAGTTCCGTTCCGTGACAGTTTTCTCTACCCTTCCCATTTAGCAAAAACGGAACGAAATGTCGCGTCGATCGTTGGTAAATATGCTTGATTCATCGATATTTCGTTATTTTGAGCAGTTGAAGCAATAATATATATATATAATTTGTGCAATTATCTTGCTGATAATATTGTTGTGAGTTCTCTAAAATATTGAATTGTAACGGTAAAATATATTTTGTAACTAGATTCCTTTCCGTTTTTGCTGAATGGGACGGGTAGAGAAAACTGTCACGGAACGGAACTGAAACGGAATGCTCAATTCTAGTGAGATACCCGATCCGTCATTAATGGGACGGCACCCTAAATGCACGCAATATGCACGCATTTTATATAGTGAGCGTCACGTATACTATAGGGGAATGCGCGCATATGCGCTTTGCGGAAAACAGCTATTTGAAACGAGTATGGCAATATAATGAAACGTCTATAACACAGTATCTGTATATGCATTAAAAGGGAGACAAAGAGCGAAGGGCAGAAACAAGAGCATCCGAAAATCACAATAAAGAAATTTTATTGGAGATACACAAAGACAAGTACGAGTCCGGTATTACGTAAGAATAATTAATACTGACAATTCGCGAATACTCGTGTGTAAGTACACAACGTACAATTTAGATAATTTATTCATTCATATATATATACTCGTAATTTTTGCATTTGTATATATATATATATATATATATACTCGTACAAATGCAAAAATTATCCTTTTCAATGGCTCAAGCGATATATAGACATCATGGAATATATTGCGATGCGCTCAAGCTAAATGGTATCGTCGCAATTTGTGATTTATGCTCTGCCCACAGTTTCAATCTTAAATTTTGCGTCAAAAGATAGAATAAGAGAAAATCGTATATGATTAATTATAGTAAAAATTTGTCATTAATTGAATTATTTTTATATTTATTAAACACTAATACTCACAAAGTATATGAAAATAAATAAATACAGTTTTTAAAGTATTTACGCGATATTAGACTCTGAAAGACCCGACAGTGGTCAGATATCGAACGTCTTAGCGGCTTTGGTCCATTCTTATCTTAACTAAGCATTATAAATTCGTTCAAAAAAGGAAATATGCATATACCTATAATTAATTCTTAAATAAGCTGGAGTTAGATAAATTAGCGGAACAAATTGTTTATAAATTTCAATATCATTTATCCTCTCTTATTTTTTTTCTTTCATTGTTCTTTATATGTATATAATGCATTCCTATATATACATATATAAATGCAAATATATTTGAAATTTGAGATGATTACAAGTACAAATTTATGACAAAGCATTAAACTATTTTAAGAGAAACACTTATGAAAAGGAAATAGAAGAATTTTAATTTCATGAGAGATTAAATAGGTATGTTCATGTTATAACATCTTGGATTACAAGATTAAAATCGCTTTAGAGATTTCATTATACTTGTAGGAAGAAAGATTAGTCCTGGCTAAACGTCCAGATGATTTTTTTCTTTTTACCTTGAAATCAATTTTTAACATATAGTGACATATGTGGCATGTGTCTTGTTAGTGGACTTTTGGTTTCAAATTTGATTTGTTAGTATAATTTACGGTACTGTTTAAGGGAGTATTATTGATCGAAGTGTCAGATACTTCATCGCTGCTATTACTGCGAATATCACCTTCCATCTGTAATAGTTTTTCCAGAAGAAAAGATTAGCATATAGACGTGTGTTCATTAATATCAAAAAAATGTCCCAATGCACGCGACAATTTATATAAATCAGCAGCACATACCTGACCAGCATTGAAAGCACGGTATGCGATCTGAATGATTAAATAAGTCCAAATTGCATGGAGAAACAGTAGTAAAATTAATAAAGAATTAAAGATATAATACGCGAAGAACATCGGTACTATCTTAGGTGCCTCTATGGAAGTACTGTAATATATAATAGATCGGCATTAGTATCAAGTAATCTGTACATTATCAAATAATCAGTCAAAATCTAAATACGTACTTATAAATTATCCAAAATGGGTACACACCCATACGTGTTACAATCCAGAGAATTGTAAACGCAGCAAATATACAGTCACAAAGTCTTTGATAATTTGCATACTTGGTCAATTTTGCCGCCTGCGAAATAATAATGTATAAATTCAAACATACGTACAAGCATAAGTTTTCTCTTTTGAGCATTCTTACCTCCAAAAGTATATCCGCAGAATCGTGCACAAGCAAGACTAGACTACCGATCCTTGTTAGATTTCCGACCCACGAAAAACACATAAGTGCAATTGTAGCTATGTGATGAATAAACATCTGCCAAAAATCTTTTCTTTTTACATCAAAGAATTGAGAAAAGCTTAATGCCCAGTAAAACGACATTGATATCATATAATACCACCATACATCATCAGTAACGGGATGATAGGGATAATTGTAAAAACAATACTTTATGTCCCAAAGCCACAATTTATCCCACAGGACAACAAGACCATAGAAAAATGAATACGTATAATAAAAACATCTCCAACTGAAAAAAACCACACATACATGTGTACGATAATCTGTCAATGTAATATTTATGCATGATACAGAATAGTGAATTATAACGATGACTAACCAACTTTCGCAGAACTTTGTTAGAGTAGACGGCTTGTCTTGAGAACGACGCAGCCGAAGCCACCTTTCTACTTGCCTTTCAGACCAATCTAATTGTTTAGCCAATGCTAAAATCTTAAAACATAGTTATGCGTTACAAAGTGTTAATGTAGCAAACAATATATTATGTACATAAAAACATACATTAATTAGCATTATTTATAACTATTTTTAATATTCCTGATATTTTTTTTTTATATTTCTTGATACATGAATAAACAAAATTCTCTTTATATAAACATTTAAGGGTCGACAGGAGTGACGGGCCAAGTCCGAATTGACTTTGGAGACCTCACGTGGTAGGACCTTGAAACTCTGGATAATTTTTATAATGCCTTTTTTACAAGAAAATAACTCTGTACGAGCCTTCAGGAGCTTTTTCTGATTACGAATATCATAATTAAAACACGATTCATGTTATATTTTAGCCACAATTTCAGTATAAAGGTATGTATTTATAAGTGCAGAGCTAGGTCAGTTATGCTCATTTTTCTCCTCGAAGAAATAATATTTCCTTATGAAACCTGTTGGGATTTCTTTGTTATATTGCTGGGAAGGCTCGTACAGAGACAGATTTCGCAAATTGATTCTTGAAAATTTTTTTAAGTAAAATTATGTGTACACCTACTTGCACTATAGTACACTTCGGGTGAGATATCAGAACATATTTTTATGATGCCTTTTTTACAAGAAAATAGCTCTGTACAAGCCTTCAGGAGCCTTTCCTAATTACGAATATTACAATTAAAACGCGATCCATCCAATATTTTAGCCGTAATTTGGGAATAAAAAATTCATCTTCAACTAGAGGTCTCCATGGGTCTCTCCTGTCGACCCTTAATCAATATTGGTAATCAATGATCATAGATCATAGGTCATATAAATCAGTAGTTATATTGCATTAAATATTAAATTTTTTCATATTAATCACTCACCTGTTTATACTTGGTTTTTTTACTAAGATATGCTTTTTCTAATATCTCATTGGACACTGCCTTTTTGCTCCTAGTATTTTTTATAGAAAGTGATTTTCCAAAGGGAGCAAACCAATACCTGTTTACAAATTGAATAATTATGTACACATATGTTACTTGAAAGCTTCATATAAATCTTTTATCATGTAGATATTATATTTTGATGTAACCTTTTTAATAGCAATTTATATGAATCTAATTTTTTAGAAAATAAAACATCAATGAGTAAGGAAAAATGCCTTATTCGATTTGACAAGTAAACCTACTTAGGATAATAAGGTGTTACTCGATTTTAATAAAACTTTGCAAATTTGTAGAATTATGAAAAATATTTGATACATATTTTTTTTTATCAGCAAAGGTCCACTCTAAAGGGTGAAAACTATCCCTTAAAGGTAAGGGGTAGATTTAATATATTAGGTGAAATAAGTTGAAAATTTTAAAAAGTAAAATGTTTACACGTTTAATTAGCATACAAATATGCTAATTATACGTACAAACATGTTTTCATTTAAATATATAATAGTTAATTACACATATATATTCGGAAAAATGTTTTTAATAAACAAATATATTAATTATATGTATAAACGTATTCTCGATTACATGTATAACAGCAAGCCCTAATCATAATACATTTCACGATAAATATCATCATTATGCATCAATGATCGAATTGTTAAACATCCGTTACAGGATGTAGAAAAGTTCAAATTGGAAGTCTGGTTGAAGTAATATCTTTTGCGTTTTTTGCAATGTTTTAAGACGTTCATTAGCACCAATATCATTAAATTGCTAGTCAATTAAATTTGTGATATTATGATATACTAATTTCAGTTTAGAATTGCATTTTAAGAGTAAAAATAAAATCAGCGCGCCGTTTACAAAACTGAATGTATACACCAAAAAAAGAATTATGTATCAATAGCATTACTTTAATTAAAAATAATTTTGTTAATTCGATAACACTGTTAATAAAACGGATATTTACACTCTTATTTTAATAAAATTTTATTTGTTTTATTAATATTGTTATTAAATCAACTAGATTGTTTTCAATAAAAATAATGCTGTTTAAAAATTTTTTTTTTCAGCGTAATAATTTCTTATTATGTTTATCATGACGTTTAAAATATTATAATATATTAATTACATATATAATTAAAAAATATATATATATATACATTAAAATATATTAATGTATATACAAATTCACACCAAAATTATTACATATTGTTAAGCGCTAAGATCTAGCTTCGACCGAATAAGACACTTTCTTTATTCAATTGTATCGTTTCATATCAGTCTATTATTACTCATAGTCCGGGAGATTTGCCATATTTATGTTTCCTTCATATTTACCTAATAAATGACAAATTATGACGATTTCAAGTGGTAACAAATCAAGACCATTTTAGTGTCATCTCCTGGACTATCAGTGTTCATTTTAAATATTAATACTTGGAAATAGCTATAAAATTAATTTATATGAACGTAGTCTAAGAAGCTTACCTTTCAAGAGTATATCTTATTCCTAGAAGAACAATTGCCATAGGCAGCGGATATATTAAATGTTGATAATTAGCATATTTATTGTCTGCATTTGGACTGATATCCTCCCATGTAATGTTAGGAGGTAACCAAATGTGTGGTGACCAAAAGGTGGCTGATATATTTAGGAAAATATTCATTTCTCTGTGTTCTGCAAACTAAATATTCTCGATAAGAAAAAAAACGTCTATAATAAGTCGGGTTGTGAAAACTACAGCTCCACAATAATAAATAATATGCTAGTGTTTCATATTAATAATTATAGACGACTTATTAACAAATAAGAATGCTCAACGGCACAAAGAAAAAGAGAGCGAGATAAGAAATCGTGATATCAAGCTACTGAAATTAAACGACATAAATTATTTATACTGTTATTGCTGTACTAACACAAATAAATCAAGTACAAAGAAAAAAATACTTGCATATGAGTAAACATGCAACTCGAGAGAGAGAGAGGGGAGGGGAGAGAGAAAGAGAGAGGGGGGACTACATCAGATGGGTCGGTAAGAAGCACACGCGCGCGCGCACACACACACGCACTTACCCAAAGCCACAGTGGCCCCTACAGCATGTATGGCACGATGAAATGTGCCACCGGACGGATGCGAGACGAGAGTAGTGAGAAGAGAGAGAGAGAGCGCGCGTGCTCGTGTCACGACCAGTATCGTTTTGGTTGTTTTGTAGACACGCGCGTGCGCTATCGGAATTGGTTGGAATGTACTGCTCCGATTATGCTGTCTGAATGAGAAGGCTGACGATGATAAGGTGACCTCAACGTCTTACGACACTGGCAGTTAAAACCGACAAAGTCGCGTACGCATCGTAAGTGCTGGGTCTAAAAGTCTTGCTGACATTATGAATTGCTATCAGTATTACACGTCACTATCATCAAAAAGGAGTAGTAATAATTAATATAATAATCAAGATAATATGAACGAAATGAACGAACCTATTCGACTGCGTGACCATTCCTTTGATTTGATAGTTAACGTTGTAGCTACGCTTGGTCACATCACACCGCGCAATACACCGGCTATTGGCCAACACCGCCTGACACCAGTGACACCGCTAATCCCCGCCAACCACCGTCAACCCTGCCACCGGCGCCGCACGAGACGAAACACTTGTAATTAACAATTACCGTACAATTCCATAGTTGTACGGTCTGTGATATATGATACGGGTGTATTAGATGCACACGTTCGCTTCTGACCATCTGACGCGGCTGGGGATGAGGTGTGGTACGCTCCAGTACGCTCGGTGACCCGGCTCGGCAAAGATTACGGACACTTCCGATCGTGTCCGACCTCGGCACTTCGGCAGTTGCGACATAATGGCTGTTTTCCGCAAAGCGCATATGCGCGCATTCCCCTATAGTATACGTAACGCTCACTATGGCTGTCTTCCCATAGTCCCTTTGCCAGTCAGTAAAGCCTACGGCACACGGTGCTTGTTTTCCTGCTGGATTGCTAGCTGGATTAGAATCTTGCCACCGTATTGGCTGCGGTGCTGAAAGTGCCAATATCGCGGCCAATCCGATGGCAAGAATCTGATCTAGCTAGCAATCCAGCAGGAAAACAAGCACCGTGTGCCGCTGGCTTAAAATAATATTACTAGAGTGACGTCATCTTACTGACTGGAGAAGTGTTCCCATTCTAGCCAGTAAAAAGTGACGTCAGGATTTGTTGCGTTTCTATGCCCTACGCTTTCTACAGTTTTCGTTTCATATTACAGTTTCATTTCATATTT